TATAGGATCATGGCAAAGAATGCACCTATCTCTCTACAGTAGTTTCTACACAAGTATTTTCCTAAATAGTAAGTAATTATCTGTTAAAAAATCTTCCTAACATACAAAAGTATTCTTCTCCAACTATTTTATGTACATAATAGGTGTTTTTGTATCATTTAAAAAAAACTACCCCATCTCTACAAACCTGTAACATAATTCTTTTCAGATGTTACAAACACTCTCTTAGGCAAGAATACAAAAACCAGTCACATTTTATCAACAATTATAACTCAAGCCTATCATTTTACCTAAACAGTTGAATTATTTGAAACATTTCCAGTTTACCAATTAACAGACTACTTCATTCTGTGAATATTTATTGAACATCTATTACTTGACAGACCCTGGGAAAGAATGGGTCTAATATTCTCTGCTCTCAAGAGCTCACTGTAATAATGAGATTTCATTACCATCACATTACTAAGGCAATAATATATTTTGGCTCTATCTTTGCTCTAGGACAATTAAGGAATTTTCTATCCATACCAAAGAACTAAAATTATAATCACTGTGTATGTTTTCAGTTAAAAGTTTAGTAGCATACATTGACATTTTTGCTAAATATTTTGGAAATAAATGAAAGCAGAAATAAATTATTAAATAAAACAATTCTATGTTAAGCTGTAGCAGGAAAAAAATCCAGTAAACATTAATTAGCTCCACATGAAAGCACTGCCTGAGATTTGAGTGAAATAAAAACATACTAATGGGGAGAAAAGGAAAGCTAGTCCAATAAACTTTACAAGGTAGCAGGCATTACTTCTAATCACTTGAAATGATGGTTTACTTTTTAATGATAATGTTGCATGTACATAATAACAATTTTATATTTAGATAAACCTGGTTTTCACTTAGGTTAAAAATAACAGGCTAACAGGCCAAGCAAGATATCTCCAAAATAATCATACTATAAAATCTCTCTTTTCTTACAAAGTAAGTTCTTCATTACTAAATTTTCCTCCAACATTTCTGATCTTATTCTGTACTCCCCTTCAGAATAATCAACAGGTAGACACACTTCATAGAATCTGTCACAGAAGAGAAGAAACCAACACAGGTTTATGTGGAAACCATCCCTGCATTTTCTCCATCAGTTCTCAAGGATGAACTATAGCAATGCCTGGAAACACATTAGAAATGATGGTACTCATTCTTTTTCTAAAGATAATTATTATAACTGATCTAAAATCTTGTTATTTTAAAATAAAAAGTATAAGAAGCCACACAAAGTAAATTTGTGGCACTATGTAATTTTATAAAGCAAACATATGGTTATTATAAAGTAACCACCACCATCTCAGAAGCCCAAGCCACAAGCCCCATTTCGATCAGAACCTCTTTCTACCTCTCGTTGTCCTGACAAGTACAGTAATCATTTTATTGTGGTTTTTATACCTTTGTCATCCAAAAGTACATTCCTACACGCTATTAACTGCTGATTTCTAAAGGTACACTTATTTTATAGTTGGTACTCCATACAGATCGTAAATAATGTATTTTAAAACATAAGTGTAAGAAGATCAAAATTTTACTCATTTAAATGCTTCCTCTCTTTTTTCTTTTTCTCACGAAGTATGAACTGGATGATTTTTTCTTAAAGAAAAAGATATTAATTAACACTGCATCTATAATTATTTTGCAAACAAAATGATACAATGACAAAAATCCGTATTCTTAAACAGGCAATGATTAGAAAACAAATCAAAAAAAGTTCAAAACCAAAAGTTAAAATAATGTTTCTGGGATAATTGTTATCAAAAAATGTTATTAGAAATTATAGAATGGCTCAAAATAACATCTATTCACTTTACCTATCTCTCTTTTAGTATGCATATTTACCAAAAAAAAGTTTTTCATGGGAAGTACTAAATATGCTTATGAATATAACATGGTGACATGAAAGCATATGACCACTTCAAATTTACTGTTTTTTATTTTCTAATTTTAGAAGATTAGAACTCACTGTAAGGTGAAATTTAGTCTGCTTTAAAGTAACTTTCTTGAATATAAAATTAACTAGATACTTGGAAAATACAGACATATATAGACAAAAATAAAAATCATGCATAATCTCAACATCAAAAGATAACCACTTTTAACATTTTAGCCTATTTTTTTTAATTAAAAGGATTATTCATAATTTACCTTATTATGTGTCCACTATTTCCTTTTAAAAATGTTTATTCTTTCATTATCCATTCAATCTCATAGATAAATGAAGACTATAAAATAACAGGACTTTTTAAATGCATCAGAATTTACACATGCAAGTATTTTTTATTCTAAAAATGCAGCTAATAAATAAAATATTTTTAAGAATTTTTTTGACAACTATCTTGAAATTCAAAGGGTATATATATTAATCACTATTCTAAAACGGTTCCCAATGGACTCTAACATAACAATATAACATGACAGAATTTTACCAAAATCTGATTGTTTGTTCCTGTTTCCTATTTCTTCCCTGAGTCTTTCAAACTTCACCTGCACCTCAAACATGAATCATGTTGGTCATTCAGAAATTGTCTAAGATTAAGAATTTAGGAAATCCCACCCAAAAAATTACCATAAAAGTGTTACAGGAAACAAACATTTCTAAAAATCCAATTGCAATATAAAATTACATAAGCCAAACTCTACCTTTACAGAAATCTCCATTTAAAAAAAAATTCAGAGATGTATTACCATTTAAAGATGTATTACCATTAAAAATAAATTGACTTAAAAAGGGATAATAAAAATTCCATCTAAGAAATCAAATATCTTGAAACTAATGTTAAAGATAAAATTAAGAAACACCTGATAAAAACATGTGCTAATTGATAACAAACTGCAAAATCCAAATACTGAATTTTTTCTAAACTACATTTTCTTAGGACCAAATTAAATGTGGAGGAGTTATTTTTCCTATAAAATTTACTCTCATTTCACTCCTACCTCTGGTCATTGCTTGTTTTCAAAAACCTTGAAATATTTAAGTGAGCTTCTAAAGTTAACAAGTGTGAGTACTCTCTGAAGCATTGAAAGTGCCTTATGAATGCAAAATGATTATGACGATAATGGCTAAGGCAATGACAATGGTGATTTATCTAATGCTTCCGAGAAGGAGATACTAATTAGTTCAGTGGTCCTTTAAAGATCTCCATGGTGAATAGACGGTTGCATCTTTCTATACAATGGGATTTTGAAAAAATGCTTATATAATTAATTTCTCAAGATGTAAATCCATAAATACTGTATGTCATTTACAGCAGAACACTGGTACTCTCTAACGCCATCTAGTTGTCAAAATTAGTGGTTATTTTAAAAATTTATCCCATTAAGAGCAGGCCAAATCTAGGCATGTTTCTTGATGTAAGAGACGGATGAGTATTTTACTCTAGTCGGAATCTTCACTCTCTGCATGGTTGGGTCTCTGTTTTCCTTTGCAGCCATTACCCAAGGGTGAAAAAGGAGAATCAAATTGTTCAAATAAATGCCACGTCCTGGGCCCTGTCTTACCTGCCTTTTCTGTGCTTTTTCTTTATATGTCCCCAAGAGCTAGTGCTTAGCACACAGCAAGCTTTATGAGCACAATCAATATCCGATGAAGTAATCACAAGCAGTCTCCCTTTAATCGGTTTAGTACACGTTTAAAGTATTACACAGTCCCTGTCAGATGCCCAAGATTTTCACTGAAGTCTGCATACTCTTCCTTGTGCTTTGTTTGGGATTATAATTCTGGCTATTTCCACTCTCCAGTCTAAGGCTGAAATACTTCCTTTGGAAGAACAAGTTTCTTTTCCCTTTTGAGGCCTGGTTCTGGTCTTAAAGGGTATTTACACAGAATGATGCCACCCTTTCACCAAATAAACATGCATCCCTCTGGTAAATTTTTAGGTACTTAAAATCGATATTTCCTCAGGCTCCAGGCCTAATTCTACTTCCTCTAAACCAAGGAAACTGGTTTTCCTCCATCCCAGACTCAGTCTGCATGTCTCATGGTCAGTTCTGCAAATAGTGTTTTCCTAGCCCCTTTAAAGCACAGTCTCACTGAAACTTCCCAGGTGGTCCAGAGGCTAAGATTCTGAGCTCCCAATGCAGCAGGCCCAGGTTCGATCCCTGGTCAGGGAACTAGATCCCACATGCCACAACTAAGATTTAGCATGATATAACTAAGGGATCCCACATACCACAGTGAAGATTGAGGACCCTGTGGCTCTGAAACTGAGACCCGATACAGTGCAGCCAAGTAAGTTTTAAAAACAAAACAGTCTTGCCATTATTAAATGCCACTTTTCCCTGAAGAAAATCTACTCCCCCTGTCCCCCACCTTTCTCCTACAATTCTACTTCCTTGTGCCATCAACTCTCTAAAATCACATTTATAATTCTTAAAAAACACTCAACATACATCACCTAGTCAAGGATACCCACTGCCCTGAAGAACTTTAAAAAAAACTCATATTTTCATTATTTGTCCAGACTTTTTTGCTCTCATATCTTGTATTTCCTTTAATTCACAATAAATTTACTTATGGAACTGAATTCAGTGAGTGGATATTTAGCCTTATGATAATGTAACTCAAAGTTGTAAAAAGAATAATGTAATACTTCTATATATTTTTAAATGGAAATGCAGAAGAAGAACTTTTATAACATTGTTATGATGACTTTTTTGTGGAATAATTACTACTTAATTTTTATAAATAGGCAATTACACAAATCAGGCACACTTAAAGGTAAGAAACACGTCTAATAGTTTGAAGTTAGGACTACTCTCCTACCCAAAGCTTCTTCAACAACACTCACACATCCATTTGTGTTTCACTTTTACATTGATAAGCCTATTTCCCAAGAAAAAAACAATAATACCTTAAGTACCAAAGGAAAAAAATGGATGGTCCAACATATTTTTCAAGAACAGTGGTTGAAAAGAAAACTGACAATATAGCTTAGTAAAACTGTATAGAAACTTACATAATCATGGAAGGCTTTTGCTTCACTTGAATGTTCACATGTTTCCCGCCTTTCTGGAGCTGCACAGTACAGATCCCAAAATACACTAAAAAAGTAATTATGGAAACATTAAGAAAATCACATAATGTCAAATGAGAGAGCACAATTCCAAAAACAGAAGGCAAATATTCCTTACACAATATGTGTTTTCTTCTTTAAGACAAATATTTATTTGAAAGATTTAAATTCAGAGAAGGCTCTTCTTGTAGTAATAGGTATAACCTAGCCATCACACAGAAATGCTAAGATTTTTCTAAAATGACAATAAAAAAAATTTTAACTGTCATTCTTAATTGTCTTAAGAATGACTTAAACATTTGATTGAAATAATTATAACACTTTTCACAACTTTCCCATGAAGAATAAAAGATTTTTTTAATAACAATTTAATCATTAAGGAATAAAGTAACTTTATTTTTAAAAGTGAAATTCCCTTTTTCAAGATAATTTTAATGTCCAATCCCCAGGCTAATACCCTAACCATTAGGTCACACCTGACAAATAAATATATTTTCTTAAAATAGACTCTGGTTTTCCTTTGTAATTACCAAGATATGTTGGTCATTTTGAAAATTTAAAAATTCACACTTTCTTTTTTTCTTCCTATTCAAGAGCAATAAAAGCAAAACCGAACTGGTTGGGAAAAATAATTATACTGCTTACAAAACACATAGCCCCAATCATGTTTCATAAAATTAACAATGAACATGAAGGGATTAAAATCAAGAAAGCAAATGTCTGAAAGTCCTAATGATAAACAAAAGCAGGTTTACTGATCAACAAATATTTTTTTACTGTACATTTTCCTCTCTAGAGAACTGGAAAGCATGCTAAGCCAAATGGTTAACGGCATAAGTTTAGGACTAGGACATATCTGAGATAGAAGCTGGCCCTGCCACCTACTAGTTCAATTTGTTTAAACAAGAAACAATTTTCTCCTCTATAAAATGGGGCTGTTGAGAAAATTAAATTGTATAAAATAAGCACAGGGTCTTACAGTAAACATATTATTATTAATAAAACTAACACCATAACTAGCTTGCACAAAAACTTAAAATGCATACATATCGTTAAGGCAGGTCACTGGGCTGAGGGCACAGTTAAAAATGGCACAATAAAGCTGGGTAAGTCAAACTGGTCTCTTTGTTTTGACCTCTGAAGTCTCATTTCATCTGGATCTCTCTCCTGAGCTGGGATAAAACATTCTCTAGGCATTATAACAATTAATTCAGTAAAATAAATTACTCTTAGAGGCAAAATATATGAAAGATTAAGTACTGACATTTATTTCCTTTTAAGTTTCTACAATAAGCTAGAAATACAAAGCAAACAATAAAGGCCAAATTAATTCAAATAATTTCAATTCCTGAACTAGAGTGCAAGCAGTTTAAAGTTGTGCTTGGCTTTCCTATATCCCTTTTGGGATAAAAAGTATAATAATTATATACAGACAAGGATACAGATTAAAGTTTTACACCTGAATCAGGTGTGTTATGAATTATCATGTGCTGCAATTATACTTATTTTCACATTCTTAAGGAACTTCAAAGTTCTTAAAACCAAAATTTTATAATGGCTGTCTTTAAATTGTATTTAATCACAGAATATTATGCAATATTATGACAATGTTTCTCTTTATGGATTTAGCAAGTGGTCAAAAATTTATAAGAGCCAGAATAAGGATAATAAAACAAATTACTAAAGTAGCATAACTTTATATAGTGTTTCTAATAGTCCTACATTATTAGATGTATAAAAAATGGATCAAAATATACACTATTTTTTTGAATAAAGGTAAAGAAATATATCCTTTTAAAGACATTTACCCAAAGAATAAATACACAGTTCCAATAACAGAGACAAGGTGAAGTCTTAACCACTGGACTGCTAGGGAAGTCCGTAAATTATTTTTAAAACAGCATACAGATATTAAAAATATTCTAAAAAAGACTCAGAGTTATTATGGACAAAAAAAGTTTTCTTATTAACAAAGCAATATTTGTCTCAATTTCCTTTCCAATCCTTTGTATTTAGTGGAAAATTTCAAGTTGTTGTTGTTTGTTTAAAATTTTTTATTTTTTTTTCCCCAATTATTTTTATTAGTTGGAGGCTAATTACTTTACAACATTGTAGTGGTTTTGCCATACATTGACATGAATCAGCCATGGATTTACATGTGTTCCCCATCCCGATCCCCCCTCCTGCCTCCCTCTCCATCCCATCCCTCTGGGTCTTCCCAGTGCACCAGCCCTGAGCACTTGTCTCATGCATCCAACCTGGGCTGGTGATCTGTTTCACCCTTGATAGTATACTTGTTTCAATGCTGTTCTCTCTGAACATCCCACCCTCGCCTTCTCCCATAGAGTCCAAAAGTCTGTTCTATACATCTGTGTCTCTTTTTCTGTCTTGCATATTAGGGTTATTGTTATCATCTTTCTAAATTCCATATATATGCGTTAGTATACTGTATTGGTATTTTTCTTTCTGGCTTACTTCACTCTGTATAATGGGCTCCAGTTTCGTCCACCTCATTAGAACTGATTCAAATGAATTCTTTTTAATGGCTGAGTAATATTCCATTGTGTATATGTACCACAGGTTGTTTTTTTCTTTTAACAATGTCTTCCCACCAAATCTTCCTTTGTATTCCACATTCCTTTCCTACTCTCTAACACATTTCACTTTTTCTGTACAGTCTGACCACTTCTGTTGTTTACTTTCTTTCTTGCTAACGTGATTAATTCCGTGCTTACTGTGGTTATACTCCTCTTCCTATCCTAGTTGTTGCCTACACTGTCTTATATTGATGTTTAGTTTAACAAATTCAAATAAATAATTAGCTATGCAATGCCTATTACAGGCAAGACATACAAGATAAATAAGAAGTAGTCTGCCACTTACAAATATTATATATTATTCTAGTGAGCCTGATGATTAATTCCAACACAATTATTTTCACATGGCTATTTGGTTATTCTTAGCTACACCTGATGCCATTATTAGATTCTAAGATAGTCAGAGTGCTGGTGTGCTGCAAAATTTGACTTTTCCACTGCCAGGGGATAGAAACTGGATTCTTATGATAACCTTAGTTATTGGTTCATTTTTTCTGCAATGTTATACATATTTAATTACAGTATATAAATACATGAGCCCAAAGTTATTCCAAAAGGTTTTTATATATAAAATTAAATTTAAAAGTTTCTTCCATTAAAAATTTAAATAGGAACTTTAAAAAAATGTGTATTTTTAAATTATACAAATAAAAAAGGGCATTAATTTCAGGTGAAAGAAGTTCCTTGGCATTTGTATCCCTGATATTCATGGAAGAGAGCTTTTATTAAAGCATATTAATAGGAAACATGTTTTCAAGACGGATTTGATCACAGTGAGTATAATGAACACGGGAGAGAGGCATAAAAATTACAACAGTTCTGGGCATGATGCAAACTGAAAGAAGAAAAGAAATCACAAGGGACATCTTATTAGGAACAAGAAAAACAGTTCCAGAAAAATCACACACTTTCCCCTAAGCCATACTAAAGGGAGAAACTTCTCTCCTCTTCAAGGCCTCTGCCCCTCATTTCTCCCGTAATTTATTCTGCATTTTTGTTCATGTTTGTTCTCTTTCAGCATCTTCAGTCTCCCCTGCTCTTTTTACCTCCATCTATATACTTGCTGAAATCTATTCTAAAAATAAAAAACCAAAAATGCCAGGTCCTGTTCTGTGTTGTTAATCCTGAAACTACTATACATATCATCGCATACTTCAACTATTCTTCATTACCCTGGAGCTGGAAAAATGGAACATAACAGTATCCTAAATTTCATGTTCACTATTCCACTGAAACTGTTCTCCCCAAGAAGACCTAAGAAAACCTCAGTTTCCAATTCAGGAAAACTTTTTTTTTAAACTTATACCTGCTGCAGAATTTACTCTCTCCTTGGAACACCTTTTCTAGTTTCCAAATATTATTCTTTCCTGATTACCCTTCTTCCTCTCTATTTTCTTTGGAGGCTCCTCTTTATCTGTTTATACTTAAATGTTGACCTTCCCCAGAGTACCAACCCCAGGCCCTGCTCTTCGTTGTTACACTGTATATTACTATAATGGGGATACACGTCATTATAACATTTGCTCAAGGCCACAGAATGTACAACACCAGAAATGAACTGTAATGTAAATTATGGACTTGGAGTGATTATAGTGTGTTAATGTAGGTTCATCAGTTACAACAAGGGTACCACTCTGGTGGGGAATGTTGATTATGGGGAGGCTATACATTGTGGAAGCAGGAGTCATATGGGAAATCTCTACCTTCTCCTCAATCTTGTTGTGAACTGACTGAAAACTACTCTAAAAAATAAAGTATTAATTTTGAAAACAAAAAACCAAAGAGATCTTTGAAACAACTGGGGGAAAAAAGTCAGGACCCTGCTGGACTTAAGGCCCATAGTTATGGTTAGCTACACACAATGATCAGAAAAGCTTAGGATCTGGGCAATGTCCTGCAAGAGGGGATCCTTAGCTTTTCATCAGTTCTCAGAGGACCCCATGACTTCAAAATCATTAAGAATCATTCATTTATATCGATAAAGCAGGCACCTCAAAAGGTAGCAGTTTTAGGGAAGAACATTAAAAACACTGAAAATAATGTACCTTTTGCATGTGCCAGACTTAAATGAAAATAAATACGACCTAAAATATTTATGTGCCCTTTATTTAAAATTCCTTTGATATCTATAACTAAGTAAAAATTACTTAAAATATCAAAACCACAGAGAAAGGGCTCCCCTGAATCTAAGAGTCACAGAAAAAGGAAGAGCAATAGCAGATTTAAGAGCTGCACCTACTGATAAAAAAGACCAAAAAAACTGAAGTCTGACAGAAGCAAAAAGTCAAAGTATTCAGTGAATTATTATCAACCATCTACAGTAAGAGGATAGGTTAGATTCATGAGGAAGGGAGTAAAAGAGAAATGGGTACAAGAAACGGAATTAATTCTATAATGAAAAACTTAAAATCTTCATTTTGTTAGCCCACTGATCCAATAGGGACAGACCTCTAACGTGGTTTCTTGTGTCACTTTATAGACATAATAGGGAACATATAAAATATATGGGTGTCAATAAGTGGGGAATTTCAATTACATTCAGCAGTTAAGCACCTTACAGTCTAGATCTACATATCATAAAAACAGCTTAAGTAAAATGAAAAACTGACTTTTAAAACATTATGTTACAAGACATTAGTCTTAAGCCCCAGGAAAACAGCACAATGATAGGGCCTAACTGCAAGGAACCGTTATTCCAAATACAGGAACAACTCTGAACCAAAGGACTGCACCTGTTCCTGCCATACGTATTTCAGACTAACAAGGGAAACCCACAATCATAACTGACCAAGTGCGGTTCCATTCACCATGGAACTTCTAGTAAAGCACGTTTTCAGGAGAGAGATTAAAAAGATGATGGCATTAAGTAACAGACCAAGGAAACCACATCCATGGCACTAGAAGAGAACTTTTATTTTTGTTTTTTCATTTTAAGTATGATGCTGAGATGAGTGTATAACGTACTGAACAGGAAATGCTCCTAAATGAAGAAATTTTTTTAAAAAAGAAAAGAAAAAGCTTAGCTTGTCCATTTGAATACCTAGACTAATAATCGCTGCTGCAGGAAAGTCACAAACCTGGGTGTACTGGTGCTGCAATAAAATTTATAAGTTCTGATATCAACTGAACCTTTAATACTGACTGACCATTTGTGTGTACATTCTTAGGCAGTTCTATCTCTGAATCTATCCAGAACTATTTCAAACTTTTTTAGACTATTCTAAAAATTCACCACAACCACCACCATCACCACCTTCAGTATCTTCAGGTTTAGATGAAGTCACAAGGGTGGGACCCTCAAGATGCAATTAGTGCCCTTACAAAAAGAGCCACCGGAGAGCTGGTCAGTTAGTTAGTATGTGCTTGCTCTGTCTCTCTCTATATATCCATGTGAGGACACAGTAAGAAGGCAGCTATCTACAAGCCAGGAAGAGTTCTCATTAGAAACACACCATGCCTGGCAGATTGAACTTGGGACTTCTGGCCTCCAGAACTGAGAGAAATTAATTTCTGCTGTTTAAGCCACCCAGTATATGGTACTTTTTTATGGTAACCAGAGTTGACTAATACTCATAATTACAGCTGGAGATTCCACACTGGTCACAATTCCATCTTGACTTAATAGCAGTATCTTTAAGTTAACTACTTACTGCTGGTTTTGAGCTTGTTTTTTTGTTTTTATAAGTGCTACCTTTCAGAAAATAACTGCAGAAAATGAAAAAGTATAAATGAGAAGCATGAAACTATAAACAGGTATGTGCAAGCCTTGTGAAATGCATCATCAATCTAATGAAAATGGAATAAATGATACTTACCACCACCAAGAATGTAAGAATCCTGGTGGCTCCCCCAACGTGATGTTCTTTTCCCATCTTATCTAAAATGAATAAAATAGATATTAAACACTCCTAATAATACTTTCCCCACACATATGAGAAAGCAATATTTCCCCATTTAAAATATTAAGATAGTATATAGGATTTTAATCATTTTCATGTTATTCTTTATCCAAGTTTTACAAATACTCATTTTATATTATAATTTGCTGACTGAATAGTCTGAGAGAAGATGCCACCATTATTTTCCTGAATTTGTTTCCCACTGTGCCAGAATTTCAGAAGGTGTTTCAGGATCTTAAGGCACATGAAAATCACAATTATTAACACCAATATGGAAATCAGCTATCACCACTAACCCAGACACTTGCAAGGACTTGGGCTTAATATGTACAAACTACAAATTAAACTTCAAGGATTGAATTTTTGAATAAGTTTCTGATTTGAGGGAATGGAACTGAGAAGGCATATGTAAGAATTTTAAAAGACGGTGATATTAACTTTCCAATTATTTATATTTCAGATGAGCTGAAGTTCACTATAATAAAAATTGAAAACAAGGTCAATATTCTCAAAATTAAAAGTTCTGATTAAATTCTTTCTACAAATTAAATTTAAAAATTGCAAAGCTGAGTGTGTATTTATACAGTACCTTTTCTAAGCACTGGATAGCATTAAGAAGAAAAGATAAAAATCTTTGCATTCAAAGAGATTACATTTTAGTAGGAAGGACTGCTGTTGTTTAGTCTCTAAGTCAAGTCTGACTCTTTGTGACCCCATAGACTAGCCTGCCAAGCACCTCTGTCCATGGGATTTCCCAGCAAGAATACTAGAATGGGTGGTCATTTCCTTCTCCACAGGATCTTCCTGACCCAGGGATCGAACCCACAACTCCTGCATTGCAGGTGGATTCTTCACCATTAAAGAGAAACCCAGAAGGGAAAACAGACCATAACAAACGCCCCTGTCCCATCCCCCCCAAAAAAGATTGCATTTATACTAGAAGTAGAAGGTGACAAATGCTATGGAGAAAGATAAAGCAGTGAAGGAGGATAAAGAGAACAGGCAAACCTGTAAGAAGTTATAATTTTAGCTAAGGTGATCCAGCTTCAAGAACAAACAACTCATATATAAGTATAGCTTTTAGTTTTTTAAATAACTAAAAAATAATTTAACAATACTCCGATCAGTAAAATGTGTCCATTGGCCCTTACCACTACTAGGAAGCAAACAACTATAAATACTGACTGATTAACAGAATTCTTTCCATCACCTACTATGGAAGAAGTTATCCCAACATGATAAAAGACAAAAATATTTTAAAATAAAAACTCGTAAGTGATTCTAAATGTTAAAACAAAAAAACCCTCTTTAAGGAAGAGATGTAAAACTTAAGCATAGTTAAAATCACTAAAACCGATAGCATTTTTAGAGTGCTTATGCACACAAAATATAAATCAATGAAAACTTTGATATAAAAAAGTAATTTGCTTTCAAAAACCAGAGAAATTCTCTGAAGATTAGAAAATTATGTATGTGATAGCCACTTTAAGAGCTAAAAAGTGAAACTCTAAGAATTAATCAATTTAAATTTATAAAGTTTAAACATAAACAATGAACCAGAACATGTTATATAAATGGAAGTCAGACCCTAACTTGAATTCTCCTAAGTAGTAACATTCAAAATTTTTTAAAAATCTATGCTACCTTTTATCTGAAAATTTTAGGTAATCAATATTTTATCTTTTTTGGTTCATGAAAAATAAGAAATGGTACTTAATGAGTCTTATGAGAAATAGAGCTCTGATGTCCTGCTAAAGTTATAACTTAGCCAAAAACCTGTGTCTCATCTTTTCTCTTACCATCTTTTCCCAAGTCAATGTCTTCTTGAAAGGGCATAATGATGGACCTCACAGATACGCTCCAGACATACTAATATTCCTAATAACTGGAATTATCCTAAGCATAAAAACTGGAAGTTTTTCAAAGTAGAGTCCTTAGGTTTCATCTCAGCTCATCTTGACTTTACCTAATACAACTGTGAAATACTTAAAAGGAGAATGTGAGATGACTTATGAAGAGTCAAAGTGGCATGACTAAGTCTGAATGACAGACTGCTAGAGGTTATTAGACTCACAGTCTAACAAGAGTCATGCTGCACTGCATCATCTACTAAGCAGTCTCTTTCTTGCACTTTCACAACTTCTACAGTCATCAGATGTTTCAGGAGATAAGCTACTCTAGGAAAAAACCTATATGGTTTATATTTGATATGGTCTTCTACAAGAGGAAGCCTGAAGTTAATGTATTTGTATTTTAAACAGTATAACATCTTATTACCCCTAAGAGAAACAAAATGTTTCACAAACATCATCTCTTTCATCTTCAAAATATTCTTTTCTATATCATGAGTGAAGTTCATCTTTCTCACTTTAAATCACAAGTCTGTGGAAGACTCAGCTAAATCTTCGGTCAAACATATTTAAGTTAACATAAAAGTCATCCTTTCACAGTTATTCAGTGAACAACAACCAATGTGCAAGGTATTTACAAAGAGGAGATGGTTCTACACAGGAATATGTTTCCACAGTGAATGGCAGTCTTTTGCCTCTAAACTAATTACTATTCTTGTTACATGCGTGCTTAGTTGTGTCCAACTCTTTGTGACCTCATGGACTGTAACCTGCCAGGCTCCTCTGTCCACGAGATTTTCCAGGCAAGAATAGTGGTTGGGTTGCCATTTTCTCCTCCAGGGGATCTTCCCAACCCAGGGATCGAACCCATGTCTCCTGCATTGGCAGGTGTATCCTTTACCACTGAGCCACCTGGAAGCCCCAAATACTACTAATACTAAATAATACTTATTTAGAGAAAGCATTAGATGATATTCAGGAAAACAGAACCTGATCTACAGAAAACTTTGTCACATTTACTGCGGCACTGTTAAAATGAAAACTGGAAACAACCTGAAAAACATTCACCAACAGTGAAGGCAAAATAAAATTTACTACTTAAACACTACAGAATAGTGTGTGATCATTAAAGAGAATAAGATAAATCTATATGGAAAAAGGACTATGATAGACTGGTTTTACAAATGAGATTAAGAAAGGCTACAAAATAATACACACATAATAATACATACCTTTTCTGTTTAAACATATGTGTGAATATATATGTATGAACTTCATTGTATGTATATTTTAAAAATGACACCAAACTTACAACTATTATCTCTAGAAAAAGGTAAAGGACTTTCATTTTGAAGTCATATTCACACATATAGTTTAATTTTTTTAGCAAACATAATGATGGGTGAGGTTGAGGAATAGCCAGAAAACACCTCTAAATGTCAAAAGTCACTTTAGAAACAATTCTTCTGCTATTTATGAAGAGGCATTTTCTGTTGTACTGAGTTTCATGGGCTTCAGACTTGTTCAGGTGCTTAAGTGGTATCTATGCAAATAATTTCTATTTTTTCTTCTTGTATTATTGAAGCCCCTGTGTGTATTCCCTAGTCCTTAGGCTTTTGCTCTTTAAATCATCCACCTCCCTTCCTTCCATCATCAGTCCAGCTAAACGCTGTATTTTCCTGTAACCTTGTAAATTGCAAGGCCAATGCCTACCACCATACCTTACATCTGAGGGCCTTGTCTGTGATTAGGCAGTGTCTCTGTAATATGATCTAGTGTTTTCAGCATTTCTATATAAATGCAGAGCCAAACAATGAATCATGAATGAACGGTATACTGGCAAGAATAAGATATGCCATATGGTTTATAAATGAAAATTATAAATTTCAATGAACATACTCTCTGATCAGCAATTCTTCTAGGAATTTATTAATATGGTCACATGTACAAAGTTACATATAAAACAATTTTCAATGAAACATCATTTGTAATTGCAAAAGACTGGAAACAATATAAATGTCCATTAGTAAGGGGACTGGTAAATTATACTATGGCACAGGTCATAGAATGAAAAATGCTATAACCACAAAAAGAGAATATTTATAAAGTTTAGCGAACTGACAGAAAGCAACTGAAGTAAAACAAAAATGAAAGCACAGTGTGTATAATAAAAAACCTGTGATACACACACACACACACATACATACACATATACTTATTATTTCATCATTATTTGCTCTGGCAAGGTATACTAGTCATTTACCTATTACCTCTCAGCCCCACACCCACCCTCCCATATCCTCCATTCTACACTCAGTACTTGGATTCTGAAAATTACATTTCCTTGGCCCCTAGCCAGCTAGTTTCCGTTAAGTTCTATCAGGAGATACCAGTAGGAGATCAAAGAGCTGGAGGAAGAAGAGAAGCTTCCTGCCCCTGGCTCCAAGAGAAGTGGCTGCTTGTTGCAGAAGTGGCAGCAAAGTAGAGGTGGGGCAATTCTGGATGCTGACAGCACCCATTTTGGGGGGTTCTAGCTTGGTCAGTGTGGGACCACTTTAGATGATCTAGATCTACTTCAACAGCATCGCCAACAACACAGCAGTACATCCAAAGCTCATGACATCCAAACTTTACAGAGTATTCCTAAGTACTATCATACTTTTTGAAAACCAGTATTAAAAAAAATTAATATAATAAAAGAATAACGCTAGTTCCTATGTTAAGAAAAGAATCTGTACACCTATGTATAGGCTTCCCTGGTGGCTCACATGGTAAAGAATCTGCCTTTAACGCAGGAGACCTGGGGTCAGTCCCTGGGTTGGGGAGACGTTTGTTCCTAGAAAAACTCCTGAGACGTCTAAGTTAAATATAATCTACTATTCCTATTAGTTTTCTAAAACCGTCCATGTATAGAAGTATAGGTGCAACTATACACTAAATGTAATACAAGTGAAAACTTTTACATTCTAATTTTAAAAATTAAAGCAAACAGATGTACAACAGGAAGAAAAATCTGACTGCACTCTGAAGGAGATGTAATTCAAAACTGTGCTATTCAATGTGGTACTCATTAACCACATGTGGCTCTTTACACAGGATTAACTGAATGTTCTTCAATTTCTCTAGCC